CACCGTGCCAGCATTACGCTCCTTCTCTCCTACAACTGTAATAAAACATTATTGGCTATTATGCTGAGATAACGAGAACATCAAACGATAATATATATATATATATAATCACACACACCTACAATTCTATACAAGTTCTTTTATAATTTTATTTATCAAGAGCTTAGTACGTACCGAGTATGAAGTTAAACTGTGCAAGCTGAGCATTACGAATCTTTTTGTTTAGAGTATCACTCGGATCGATGTCGATTTCAACCATAACGCCAGCATCCCAGAGTTTCTGTTTCACTTCAAAGGCATAATCATCGAATTGAGATGCTACTGGTACAACCATCGCTTGTCGCGGAGAGATCCAATACGGCCATTTACCGCCATATGATTCGGTTAGGATCGCAATCATGCGCTCTACAGAGCCTAGAATAGCTCTGTGTATGATGACCGGTCTAGTTTTTTCTCCAGCTTCGCTGTAAATATACAACAAGAAAGTTAATGATTCAAATTTTTTAAACCAAAATTTAAGTTTATAATGAATACTTACTTAACGTAAGATAAATTGAATCTAATGGGCAACTGAAAATCTAATTGTATCGTGGCAGTCTGATGAGGCCTTTTAAGCGCATCCAGGATGGTAATGTCGATTTTAGGTCCATAGAATGCGCCATCCTCAGGATTAAGACTCCACGGTTGACCAAATGCGTTCAAACTCTCCTCTAATGCTTTCTCGGCCTCGTTCCAAATTTTTATATCGCCCAAGAACTTCTCGGGCCGCGTAGACAGACATAAATTGAACGTAAAACCAAGAATGGAATAGACATGCCACAAAAAGTCTAGAGCGGCACTTATCTCGTCTTTAATTTGCTCGATAGAACAGAATATGTGCGCGTCATCCTGTTGAAACCGTCTCACTCTGGTAAGACCCGTTAATGCACCCGACAATTCGTTGCGATGCAACACGCCGAAATCTGCAAATCTAATCGGCAGTTCGCGCCAGGATCTGCATCGAACGTCGAAAATCATGCAATGACCTGGACAATTCATGGGCTTGAGTGCAAAAGTTTCCTTCTCCACGTCGAAAGAAAACATATTTTCCGCGTAATGCTGCCAATGTCCCGAAGTCTGCCATAATTTACTATTGAAAATGTTCGGGGTGACCACTTCCTGAAATCCTCTCTTTCTATACTCGGAGCGAATAAAGTCGACCAGGGTGTTGTATATGTATGCGCCACGTGGTTGGAAGAAACAAGATCCAGGCGAAAGTTCGTGGAAGAAATACAGCTCCTGCTCCTTTCCAATCTTCCTATGATCTCGTTTGGCCGCTTCCTCCTGAAATTTTTCCCATTCCTTCAATTGTTTAGTATCTGGAAAACTTATTCCGTACAATCTCTGCAGTGACTCAGCGTTAACATTTCCCTCCCAATACGTGGACGAGTTCTTCGTGATCCTCATGGCCTTAATCTTTCCCGTATGTCTAACGTGCGGTCCCCTACATAAATCGATCAGCGGACCGCATCTATAAGCCGTAGTGGTGGGCGTTTGTATCCTTTCATTTATAATCCGTACTTTAAACTCATTGTACTTGAACATTTCCAAAAGATCTTCCTTGGTCATTTCTAACCGTTCAAACGGTTGTTTCTCTTTAACTATATTCTTGTATAGACCCTCTAAATATGGAAAATCAATGTTGGAAATTCCCTTATCGCCTAAGTACATATCATAATAGAAGCCATTCTCAATAGGAGGACCATAACAGAGACAGCCTCCATAAACTCTTTCCATAGCTTCTCCAAGGACATGAGCGCTGGAATGCCAAAACACTTGCTGACCTTCTGCATCATCAAACTTTAGCAGCTGCAGTTTGCAATCAAATTCTAGAGGTCTGTCAAGATCCCATAATTCATTGTTAACTTTTGCGATTACAGTATTATCTGCCAATCCTTGGCTAATACTTTTCGCAACGTCATAAGGAGTTGTACGCCAGGACTGCGCGGATACATTCTTCCCATCCGGAAGAGTTACAGTTATATTCACTGGAGTCTTTGCTGTGATTGTCTCCTCGTATTCCTTTTTCAATTTATCCCATAATACAATACGGTCCTATATAGACAAAATTGCATCTTAAAATAAAGATCTCTAATAATTATATCTTAAATTCAAGAATTATCAATAAATACACGAATGTTTATTAATTTCAATACACCTTCAGTACACCTTCACTGTTTATTAATTTCAGTACACCTTCAGTACACCTTCACTGTTTTGAAACCAATTCGTCGGCATATACACAGTTAGTACCAGCGTAAATTTTTTCGAAAATTACAATTTATAAAAATTTTTATATAAATATAATGTATAAATACAATGCATGCTAAAAATGTTTATAACAGCAAGTAGATTTATTTCTATACAAAACACACACTATGTTCATCCTTTATAGAGAAATCAAATCGGAAGGCATATTGAAATTAATGAGCAGTAATTATAGAAAAGATCAGTTTTTAATATATTTATGTTTACATTTTTTAAATTTATGTAATTTATTTATTTACATGCATAGAAAAATATTACGATTTAAAAATTAAAAGTAATTATATTTAGAAAGTTTAAAAGTATTTAAACTTTTGATATATTAATTTGACTTAACAGTTACTTTATTAATGAAATTTACCTGAATATAGGAGGGCCAAGGATTAAGCTCCGATACAGACTTCTCTGGAGCATGTTTCTTCTTCAGTGCCTTCATTGATCTCGCCTGAAAACAAAGTATTTGAAATAAAAACTATTTGAATTTGAATAACAATTTTCAATGACGCGAAGGAATTGTCGCGTGTCAGATGAGCGTCAGGCAACACTTGGCGTGAAACAATGCTCATAGGTTACGTCAGATTATCGATCTTGACGTCAATGGTTGGTTACATGTTACAAACAAAAGACATATTCTAACATAATTTTATTGTTAGACAACAGAGTTCAACGAATTCAAGAGCTACAGCGTAATAATAGCACGAAAGGGAATCAAACAGACAAGAAAAAAAACATCTTAACCAACCCGAACATGTGTCCACTTAGTACCACCATAAACAGTCCTACAAATGTGAAAACGTAAACTCGTCTGCATAGTTTAACGATATTCAAAATACGTGAGAAGTACAAGTCGTATGTAAAGTTGGGAGATTCATGCCTTATCCTCCGTCAAGGTCAGATTTTGCACGTCGGCTACCACGTTGTCGCCCATGTTAGGAGTATCACGCGATCAGTGACCAGGCCGCCGGTTCAAAACTGAATCCAACTTATCCAACTGAATCTCGTAGTAGTAAGTACTGTGAGTATAGTCGCAGTATACGTGAATTCAGAACGATAACCTCTCACTGGCCTAGTTTCCACCGAGGGTTTCAATCGGATCAGAATAAGAACCAACCAATTACAGTCGAATGACAGGAGAATACTCGACTGTAGTTGGCTGGTACTTA